ATAATGATAATGATAACAACAACAGCAACTGAATAAAGAAAAACCCTTCTGAAAAACCGTATAAGCAGAAGTAGTAATTCTTATGCCCTTTTTGATTCATAAAGATTTTGGGATGCTTTATGTTGACTGCCGATCTGAAAGTCCTGTTACCAGCCTGTATTAATTTCACTGAATATAGCTAGACTTGTTTTGGAGGACAGTGGAGAAGGTTCTCAAAAGACAAAGTTTCTTCTATCCTGTTTCCTTCCTTAATCCAGTTATAGGATGCAGCAACAGTTGAGAACATAGTGATTCAGATGGAGTTAAGTAGGCTCTGCCACTTATCTGTGGGTCAATTAAGCACATTACTTAACTTTGCCATGTTAGGTAAGATTCTCCAGAAAGACAGAACCAATAGGATGTCGTTTTAGATATAGATGTATAAATATAGATATGGACATATGAGGGGATTTATTAGAATTGGCTCACACAATTATGGAGGTTAAGAAGTCCCAGGAAAGGACTTCTGCAGGCTGGAGATGCTGGGATGCAGTACTGTGTGTGGCTCAGTCCAAGTCTGAGAGCCTCGGAACCAGGGAAACTGATGTTGTATTTCTCAGAGGCTGAAGATCTTGAGAATACATGGGCTGCTGGTTAAGTTCTGGAGTCCAAAGGCCAGAGAACCTGGAATTCTAATGTTTAAAGGCAAGAGAAGAAGGGTGTCCCAGCTTCAGCAGAGAGACAGGAAATCCTTTTTTGTTTACTCTGGGTCATCAGCCCATAGGATGGGGCTTGCCCAGAGTGAGGGTGGATCTGCACAGGCCAATCTTCTCTAGAAACAAACTCACAGACATATCCACAAATAGTGCTTTGTCAGTTCTCTAGTTACTCAATCGAGTTGACATCTAAACTAACCATCACACTTGCTCAGCCTTTACTTCCTTCTCCTTGATAAAACAGAGTTAATAGTCATACCTACCTCAGGGCTGTTAGGGTTGACAGAGGTGGTGTGGTAAAGCACTTGGCACTGGGGCTAGCAATTAGTAGGTGCTTGGTAAACCATTATTATTGCACACATTTATTCAGTACCTTACTGCTCTTTCACTTTCACAGTGAACCCTAACAGTGACTGGAAGGATTGACATTGCCTACAGGTGCCTGGCCTGTGTGATCTGCATGGATGGGAGATCTGCAGGCCCTGTCTACCTTACCTTTTCTGCTCC